CGACACCGTGGATACCAGAGGTACGTGAGACTTGTTGACTAATTGACTTTGAGACACGGGCGACTGTCTTTGACAAGTGATGGGCGTTTGCGGAATGATGCATTTGTCGCTCGGCAGCGACGATGGTACGTTCGGCGTTGCTTGCTGAGGAACTACAGGCACCACGGTCTTTATTAACGGCTGATTCGGAGAGGCGACTGTCGGCGGCGGGCCTAGAGTGTGAACGGACTTGTGAATTAAGTGAGATTGACCGTGCGCGACGATGACAGGACTCGGCGTAGAAGAGCGAGGTACGTGTGTGGTTAGAAGTTGAAGATTCGACACCTCTTGCTTTTGTCTGGGCGACAGTAGATTGCTATCCGTTGTAATAGACATTTGTTTCTGCGTTCTAGAGGACATGGTGTAGCTGTCCGTGACGTAAGCCGGCTTGCCGAATACCGGGCTGGATGTACTGGCGTTGATCTCGATCTTCGCCGTTTCGGGAATGTATGTGGGCGGTTGATTCGGCGAAGGAACCTTAGGCGAGGTGGACGCTTTGTTGGTTGGCTCCGGTATAACGGCGGGCGATAATTTCGGCTCTTCCAGTCTCTGCGGTGGCTCGTTAGGATTCACAGGAAGCAACGTCTCGATCACGGATTTGCCGCTCAGAGAGGAGTCACGCGAACTCTTAACCTGAATACCGGATGCCAACGGTGGCACCGGCATGTAAGGTCGCGGCGGAATATTCAAAGTCAACGGCGGCAAGCCACCGCGAGGATAACCGGGCGTGGGTGCTAACATGCCGGAGGCGTGCTGTATCACTGGCTGCTGAGTCGCCGCGGTCGAGTAGATTTGTTGAACCGGCGCTTCCGGCCTGTGAGCGGGGATAGGTACGCACACCGCGATCTTCGTCGGTGGCGGCGACGAGGGTTTCCTCTTTCCCACGTTAGGCACGTGCGGGCTTAACGTAGGATTTCGCGACCATTGACCGTTCGGCGAGAGCGGCTGAGAGACGCGCGGTGACGGCTGCGACGGTACCAAAGGCGGCATTCTCGACGGAACCAACGGTGGTAGTGATGTCGTGTTCGACGACGAGCAGGAAACCGTCGTGACGTTTTGCAATTTCGGAGATGCTTGGCGCATAGGCACCATTTGAGACTGCGGGGACACGGGCAGCCTCTGATACAGAGGCTGCACCGTGATCGGCGATGGTCGCGAACTCGCAGCGGAGAGCGCCTTCGGTACTTCGGTTGTGATCGGCACGCTGCAGGGCACCAGCATAGGTTGTTTGTATTGCGGCGGAGGCGGCGACGCGGACGCTCGCCGTGCCTGCGCCGTTCTTTCCGGACTGGCGACATCGGCGACGTCCGACTCGGTGGTGTCCAACTGCACGGGCTTGATGGTTTCGCGTGGCTTGTTATGCTCGTTCAAGTTCCACGAGTGAGCGATCACGGAGCTCGGCGGACTCGGTGGTTTCGCGACTGCCGGTGGTAGTCGCACCTCCACCGGTTTCTCGGGCGCGGTCAACACGGGCGCCATGCTCAGCGTTTTCGTCGGGGATTTGTAGAACGACGGTATATCCGGGGTCTTCGGAGGCTGCGTGAGATCGACCGTCTCGTAATTCGGATCCTCCTCCGTGTCCGTGTCGATTTGCAGATCGTGCTCGCTCTGTGGCGTATCGGGTTTCAGATCCGCGTCGCCTTCCACCGTCGAGGCGTTCAGACTCTCCACGGCTTGCTGCATCTCCTCGACGTCTTCCTGAGGCGCCTCGGCCGATGCCCCGGCGACTCCGTCCGCTTCCGCTTCTTCTTCTTCGCCCTCGTAAGAGAAGTCCTCCGTCGAGGCGCCGAATGTTTCTTCGAGCAGCGCGGCGACAGCGTCCTCCGTTTCCTCCTGCGATATCGCCACACGCGGCTTGTCCTCGTTCTGCGCCGGCGGCGTCGTTGGTACAGGCACTTCCGGTTCCTCCCTGCCGCTTCTCGACTGACAACTGCTGTCTCTCTCCTCGGGCTCAGAAATACTTTTCACAGCGTTCTCGTGAATTGTCTCGTCTATTTCCATTCCAAAGCCGGGTATGAACTTGTCTTTCTTCTTCTCCGGCTTGGGCGTCTGAATAGTACTGGCAACCGGTGACGTGATCGACGGTACGGTCGTCACATTGGAAGTTACTTTCGGTATCGGGCTCAATAATGCTTCTCTAGGCGTCGGCAAGCTGGGCGATATTGTCTTAGGTACTAACGGACTGCTCGCTCTCGGCGGACTAGGTTCGGCGCCCAGATAAGGTAATTCGCCGCTCTTCTCGTGATGATGGTGATGGTGGTGATGATGATGATGATAATCCTTCCGACTGCGCTCTTCCTTCGACTTCTTCCGCTTCTTTTTCTTTTCCTTCACCTTCTCCGGCACCGTCGAAGGTGTGGACGGCTCGACGCTGTCGTTGTCGTCGGTGAATCGAAAGACGTCGTGATCGTTGGACTCGGTGCACGCAGGAGCGGTCTTCGGAGAGCTCGGCATGCTCAGGAGCTTCGCTTCGATCTCACGGCCGGCCTCAGCCAAATCGACGCTGTTCTCGTCTTCCGGCAGATGACGCCGTTTCTTTTCCGTTTTCCGTCTCACTCTGTCCATGTCGAGCGAGCTGCGACCACCGTCGCTATCCGAAGCGTAAGCACTGTTTTCCGACGTCAAATTGTTAAATCTGTTAAAGAATGTGTTGGAAGGACCGTCGTCAACGTCGTCAGAAAGAGGTCCGAAGATATCCTCCATGCGTTGAGAATCCCTCGCCTCTTGCCTGTTAAGCCTCTTTCGTCTCGCTTTCGCTTTATCTTCTCCGTTCCGATCTCGCCTCTTCTCCTTTTTACTACGCTGTTTCTTATCGGCGCGCATTCTTTCCTCGGCATTGTCCAACGCTGTCGCGACAATAGTCGTGGCAGCGCTCAACTCCGTGGCGTGATTCGGTCGGCAGTCTGAATTCGACGTGATGACATTAGTTTTCTTGTGTTCCAGATTTTCCGTCGGCGTGGTCTTCAAATTATCCTCGCTCGAGATGCTGTTCTTCTGGCGTTTTTGTTTCTTCTTGTGTGATTTCTTTCGCGAATCTCTTTCGTGATTGTTCACCACTATTGCCGGGTGATTCGTACGGAAGCCAATTCGCTCGTCCTCGTCGGACGTACGAGGCTCCTCTTTAACATTTGTATGCACGCTGTTCACAATAACGTTCGAAGCTTCCAGCGGATTCTGCTTCTCTTCGGTATCGGCGAAGCCAAGATCGACGTCGCTCTCGAGGAATCTCTCGGTCTTTACAGACTTGCGAACTTTATTGTTGAACGGCTCCTCTTCCTCACTAGTATCCGAATGAATGCGGGACCGTGAGCCTTTTCTCGATAGAGACTTGGTTCTCGTCGAATCCGATTCCGAAGTGGCCTCGTCCTCGGTCAAAGCTTTACTACTGACCGAATCGCCGTCCCAAGATGCGCTCTGTTTCTTTTCCTCTCGTCTAGCGCGACTTTGCTTCAACTGCGAGAATTTGTCTTTCAGACGCACCTGACGTTTCTCCTCCTCCAGTTTTTGCATGTTCTTCGTCGAACGAGCCTTCACTTTATCGTACATGCTGATGTAAGCCGGTTCGTCGTCGACGATATCGAAGATCGAGTGCTTCTTCGGCTCGTCGCTGTCCGTGTCTGTGGCCGATGGATTTCTCGTCACTTGCATTTCGTGGGTGGAAAGCGGACCGTCGTCCACGTCGCTGTGCGAATTCAACGTAGACTGCTGCTGTTGCTGCTGCTGCTGCTGCTGCTGCTGGTGATGTTGCGCATCTCTCGTATGATTAGAACCCACGGAAGTTTGCTCGGTCGACGGGCTCGAGTTGTTTCTCTTGGACAATTCCAGTCTCGACAGAAATTCCTTGTCGGATTCGTGCGAGACTCTCGGACTACGCTCCCTCGATTCTTTTTCCGATCGGTTCTTCTTACTTCGCTGCTTCTCTTTATTTCCGCTGTCTTTCGAATTATTTTCTCGATTCGATTCGCCGTGCGTCCCGTCTCTGGTGTCTTGCGTCGCACTGCCGCTCTCTTTACTGTCACGACTCTCCCTGCTCTCTCGACTAGAACGATGCGAGTCATTGCGATGCTTGCGGTCTTCCGATCTCCTGTTCTGCCTGGAGCGATCTTTGCTGTCCCGTCGATGATCCGACATTTTGATACGCTTCCCGTCGTCGTCCGGACCATCCTGCGACGAACATCTGCGCTTGATCGGCACCGGCGCGGGAGCGACTTGACTCTGGGATTGCGTAACGGAAGGATGTAAATGATTCTCGGTCGACTGCCGTCTACTGTCGTCGCGTTCTCTCTTTTCTTTGTCTTTCTCCTCGCGATCCCTTCTCTTTTCCCGCTCGGCCTTTTCTTTCTCTCGCCTTTCTTGATCCTCCCGCTCCCGTCGCTTCTCCCTCTCGTGTTTTTCCTTTTCCAGTTTTTCCAGCCTTTCCCGCTCCTCTTTCTCACGTTTCTCTTTTTCCAGCTTGTCTCGTTCCTCCTTTTCTTTCCGCCGTTCGCGTTCGAGTCTTTCCTTCTCCTCTCTCTCTCGTTTTCTTTCCCGCTCGAGACGCTCCTTTTCTTCTCTCCTTCTGTCTCGCTCTTCCTTCTCTCTTCTCTCTTGTTCTTCTCTTTCTCTTCTAAGACGCTCCTTTTCTTGCTTCTCGCGCTCCAGACGAAGTTCACGTTCTTTCCTTTCACGTTCTTCGCGCTCTCTCCTCTCACGCTCTTCGCGTTCCCTCCGCTCCTGCCGTTCTTTCTCCTCTCGTTCTCTCCTCTCGCGATCGATACGTTCCTTCTCTCGCCTCTCCTTTTCTTTAAGTTCGTTCTCCTCCCTCTCCTTTCTCTCGCGTTCTCTTTCTTCTCGTTCTCTTCTGTCCTTCTCTTGCCGTTCCTTATCTAGTCTTTCTCTTTCCCGTCGTTCCTCGTCTTTTTCGCGCCTCTCGCGTTCCTCTCTTTCTTTTTTCTCTTGTCGGTCACGATCTTCTTTATCCCTTCGCTCCTGCCTCTCACGATCTTCTTTATCCCTCCTTTCCTTTTCCTCCCGTTCTTTTCGTTCATACCTCAGCTCTTTGTTATCCTTATTATCCTTGAAATCTTTGCTATGATAATTATCCGTATTACCGATGTCGTTCGCAACGCTAGAGCTTTCTCTTTCATCCTTTTCTTTACGATTTCTCTCGGCGTCAACCTCCTCCTTCCGCGATCTTCTTTGACAATCTTTTCCTTTACCGTGTTTTGACTCTCTGCTCTCCTTCCCGTCGCGAGAATCTCTGCTCTCCCGACTGCTACCGCTCATTTCCTTTTTCAACCGAGGACGAGGCAAATCTGTGGAAGATGTGGATAATAACAATGAAGAGGAAGAGTTGGATGAAGATGTTATGGAAGACGATGGAGCTATCGAACTGGTAGTTGTCATGGAAGAAATCGTTACGGACGTCGTTGTCATCGTCGTTGCCGTTGACGAAGCTGTCGTGCTCAACGTCGTAACCGGTGTCGCTGTTGTTGTTATCGCAGCTGAGAAGGCATCCGTTGACGCTGCCGTCACCGTGGGCGACGCAGTAGTCGCGGAGATGCTCAATCCCCTGTGCGTCGAGGCTCCGAGGGTATGAATATTACTTAGATTACCGTTGCTGCTTAGAAGACTACTGGCTGACGCTAAACCACTACCGTTGCCGCTACTAGCTGCCGTTCCGCTACCGAGACCGATCGGTAGAGAAACCGGTGGTAATTCGGGACTAACCGTCTTGATAGATGTGCCGGGTGTGATTGGCGTTGCCGGCGTTGGATGTATACAGTTATGCTGCACCATCCGTGGATCAGTCTTCAGCATCGATGGTGCCACGGTCGTCGTCGGAGTCAGACTCGCGGACAATGACGTATTAATGCCGATTTGACTGGTGATCGAAGTACCGCTGGTCGGCTGTACCGGCGGATGACTAGGAAACGGATACTGCAGACAAACTTTGCTGGTGCAACCGCTAGTGGTGAGACCGGCGGTGCTACCTATCATAGAGCTAACGCCAATAACACCGGTGAACTCCCGCGGTTCGTATTTTTCACTAAAGTTCTCCAACCGCTTCGAGTCCTCGTCGAACACACTTCTTTTCGCAAGAACTGATTTCACGATGTCGGAAGGTTTCACGTCGCGAAGATCCAAATCGAGCAGCTTATGCCGAATTCGAAATCTTTCCGAAGCGCTGGCGTCGAGTTTCGCCAGAGCGTCACCGCCGGCAGCACTCAACGCTCTCGAACCGGACCACTTTTCATACTTTTCATCCAGAGAGCGTATCCTCTCTTCCAGACTAGGAGACTGCGGCGCTGTTTCGCTGTCGGAACTGGTCGGGCTCGAGCTGGCGTGTCTAGGAGGTGGTGAAGCCGGTGGTTGCGGAGCTGCACGAGGACTGGGAGCAGTGGACAGGCTGGCACACGGCGGACTAGCGACCTTAGCCAGGCTAGCACTGCTCGATCGAGTGCCGGCGCTGCCGGTGTTGTTATTGCTACTGCTCGTATTGTTGTTGTTGTTCAACATTTGCGCCGCAAACCTCGGTAAAGGCAACGACAGTGGACCCTCGTGACTCCTTTCTCTAAATCGTCTGGGTTCGCTAGGCACCAAGTTTTCCGGTCGCTCGTCAACAAGAGGCGTACCGGGCCGAGATCCATCATGGTGTTCGTGATGCCTGGAAATGTTATTGTTTAGTTTAGTTTTAATAATTCCTAAATGTTGTTTTTTTATTTTTCTTCAAATTATAGCTCACCTGCTAGTAGCATCCCGACGACGCTTGCAAGGTCCAGGAACCCTATTCTCGCAACTACTCCTTCTTGTGCTATGATGCACCACTACTTTACTATCACTAACGCGTCTAAAGTCCATGCCTTTTCTAGTAGAATGCGAAGTAACGAGCAACGACGCGATTTCCGGCTCATCGTCTTCGCACAGTATCGTTGTCGACGAACTGTCGAGTTTCGCACGTTTCTTTATGGGAAAACCGACTTCGTCGCCACTACTGTGGCACTCTTCAAGTTGTTCCAACAAATGGACCCGTTCCTTTTGAAGATGCCGAATGTCGGGCGGAGGTAATAATGGTGGCGGCGGCGCAGGTGGATCGACGCTCGTGACGACACTTTGTACTACGTGGCGCCGCGAGGGCGGCGGGCAATCGTCGTCGTTGAGTTTGCCATCGCTGAGGACGCTGCTCTGATAGTCGTCGTGACTTGCACCGCTACCTTGACTGAACTCGTCGTAACTGCGGAATCGTCGCGACGCTGGCTCACTGTAATCACCGTCGTAGTACGAATCCTGGTAGGATCGTCTGCCACTTCGCGACATCGCAGTCGGATGAGCTGGACTTGCACCCGGTGTGCTACTCCCGGACGTCCGCGAGTAGCTCGCTGTTCGCGATCGCGGAGGCGTGTCGTAACGCGTAAACCTGCTGCTCGAACTCGACACTGTCACCGCCGAGTCAAAGCTGCTGCGTTCACGCCTAGAAGGAATCCTTCAAATCACAAATGCACCCGTTTTAAGTTCTTCATTATGACTTGTGGACTTAAGCTTAATCATGCATCTTATATTGATATAACTCTGAATATAAAACTCTCTCAATAGTCTAACAAAATTAAAAATTGTTCCGAATAAAGATCATCTAATCTGTCAGATATGTTAATGGTACATTAAAAAAGTTCTTATTTTGTATCAAAAGATTTTTGTAATTATAAGAAACAGATTAATTCAAATATACATACGTCACGTCGAATGACGACGCCGGCGAGGGCCTCGAGTCCCAAATCTTTTCATTGCTGATTCCTTGACGTTCCTTGATATGTTCGTAAAACGTCTCTTGACACTCCCTTGAGGCAAAATCGACCTGCAAACGGCGACCACGATGGCCGCTAAGGGTGTTTCCCCTCATTTCTTTCACAGCAGCTTGAGCGCAGTTTATTTGATCGAAAAAGATCAAAGCGTGGCCACGTTCACGATCTATCGATATCTGAGTTATCATTCCGAATGGAAGAAACTGTATATTTAGATATTTCTCGGACACCGAATCTGAAAAACAAAAAGAAATACACTTAATGCGATGTCTGATATTGGCATTGTATTACGTAGACAACTAGTGTAATTAAAAACAGTATGAAATGTAAGCACTTACCACCAATGCCGTCAACCCAAACGCAAGATGTGGGCATTGATTTTCCGAATCCGAGCTTGATTCGATTTGCACCTAGATGTTCGCCGTCCATCGACCTCATGGCTTTAACAACGCTACCGATATCCGAATATTGACAAAAAGCATAACTCGACACGGCGCCTTGTTTCTTAATGTCAATTTCCTGCAGGCAAATATAAGAAAATGTAATTAATTTGCTCTACTGTTTATTGGCTAAATATTATTTTTATTCGTCTTTTTCACTTTATATTTTGCTTAAATATAATTACACATTAGGTATCTCGATGTGAGATCGGTGTACAATCTAACTGTCTCTTGTAGACTAATTTATTAAATAATTCTTTATGAAAATAAATTAAAAATTTAGCACTAACATCCTGCGACGGCTCTCGATGCCATTCTATTATATTTGTTAAATATAATTTTTATTCAATCTGTCTTTATAAATTAAAAATCATCTCTGACATTAAATCTGACATTAAATCGAATTTCAACTTACTATTATTTCGCCGAATGGTTCAAAATGCTTCCTGAGTTCGGACGAAGTGACATCTTTCTCAAGATTTCCGATGAACAACGTCCTCGTCGCCTTTGGATGATACTCGTCGAGCTCTGCCTCGTACGGCCTGAATTCATTGTCCTCGACATCGTAACCCTGATAAGGAGCCACTTCGATTTTGCAGCCGAAGAAGAGCTTGTCCTGCGAAACCTCGAGGGCCTTTTCGACATCCTCGGGCTTTTTGAAGCAAACTAGGGCGTATCTGTCGCCGGCCGTACCAACGACTTTCACCCACGTCACCTTGCCATGCTTCTTGTACTCGTGGAAAAGACCGTCCTTGAGGGAGGTATCGCTACTACGAGTCGGTAGATTCCTTACGCATATGGCCAGCGGCCTGCGATCCTCCGTAACGGCTACATTGCTCGTACGATGCGGCGAGCTACCGGGCGATGTACTACCGCCAGAAGTGCTGCCGCCCGAGCTACCGCTCCGGCTGCTGCTGCTACTTCCGGAACGACTACTACCGCTCGGCGAGCTGCTCCCGCTGCGTGATTTTCTGCGCTGCTTTTTGTGCTGTCGCAGAGCACTGCTACTACTACCTCCGCCTCCACCACTCCCTGTAGAAGAAGTAAAATGAAAGTTGAGTATACGATAAATATTACAAAGTATCGTAGAATATTTATTTTTCTTCATAAAAATTCCATCTTTTTACAGCGATAAATATTTTTTAAATTGGCATATGCTGAGGTACTAAACGAGAAAAGTGCAATGCACCGCGATCTTGCATCGACGGGTCACAGGGCAATTACCTTGCTCATCTTGGTAAGCGTCATTGGTGGCCGGTGAGGGTGGCGGCGGGGCGCCGCCGTACCTGGAACTCGTCGCCTCGTAAGCGGACCAGGACGACGGCGGCAAACTTCCACGATGACGGTCTAAATGGGGCGGGGGCGGCGGCCCAGAAACGTACGGGCCGGTCCTCGGATACAGCCGATCCCTCGCCCTGCTTGATGTCACGTGATAGGAGCTCGAAGGTGGTGGACGGCCGCGGGATATGTAGCCACCGGGATCCCCCGTCGAAGAGTCTGTCGGATGACTGCCGACGCCGACGCTGCCACCACCGCTGCCGCCGCCGCCGACGACGACGCCGCTACCCCCGGTGCCAACCACTCGGTTGCTTCTCTCGCTACCGTAGAAGTTGCCGTGAGAACCACGTGAGTCGAAACTCTCGCTTCCCCTCTCTCCTCGCTCTCCGCCACCGCCGCCGCCGATCCCGGCACCGGTGCTCCCGCTACCACCACCGCCGCCGGAAACACCGCTTGTACCGCTTCCTCCCCCGCTAACGCCGCTGGATCCATGATCCTCCGAACTCCTGAAAAAAAAGGAACTAGATTTAGTCATCATCCAGAGAATGACACCTGAATCGATGAGTCATTATGAAGTACATATGTACGTCGTTTTAGCGATTTATTTTACTTATTATACATAATAAATTGCGCGATAAAAGAAGTGATGTAAGCTAAAATTGATCTACTACTTTAATTAAAAAATGCATTTTTATATAAGATACAAGATACATTAGAAATATGTAACGTATACAGAGTATCATATACATCTCTTTTTTTGTCACTCCTCTACTTGTCAATCTTGTTATCAATGAAAGAATAGTGATGCATAAAAACCGTCTTTCCTCGAAAAAATGACACTAGACTAAACTGGTTTCAACCGAATCTAGCAAATCTGTTGCAGTTCTTTCTGACGTACGCATTAATGTTAATGTGTACAAAAAATAAAAACATCGCAGTCGTGTCGTTTTAATCTTTCTGTAATAAGCAAAATACACAGATTCAAATCCAGTGTAGCTTTGCAGCTGCAGATAACAATTAATTTTAGATAAACTTGAATAGAACTTTTAAGTTATTAAACATAGAAAAAGTAATTTCAGTTTTTGAAGGATCTCGTCCTATTTACCAATGTCTTTACTGAACATTCTGTGTGTCTATTATTTCGCAAAGCGCAAGAAAACTGTTGTTCATGACCTTTGCAACGCTAGAAACTGATTATTCAGTCACGCGCAAAAAACGAAATGATAACTCATGTCGTATCAATCACGCGATAGAAAACAAATATAAAAAACAGCGTAACAATAGATTTACTGCATAAATTCTACTTTGAAATGTTTAAACACTCCAGCAGCGAGTTTGAATATTGAAACGATACGATATCTCGAACAACTACGTATTTACGTTTCACGCAAGCTTCTCTGGGTATTTTTACTTGCAAACTATTTCGAAAGTTTTCCTATTCATCAAATCATCGTGCCACTGTTCGATTTTTACATCTAATCTTAAATTCTAAACCTAATATTATATAAAATTATATTTTACTTTTTACAAACAAAAAATACATCGAGAAAGGAGACACAAAAAAGGAGTAAAATAAAATTTGATTTTTTTTATCGACTTCGATTATCCGGCGGATAAAATTATCGAATATTCAGATATCGGAAATTAGCCTTGCCTTCATAACTCCAGTTACTATAATAAAAAAAAAAAAAAAAAAAAAAAAAAAAAAAAAACGGAAGACTGCTGTGAAATTTCGCAAAACCAAAAACATTTGAGTAATCCGAAACGATGAATTATGCACAGTTGAACTTGGATTCAACTTCGCTTGAACGAATTCAAATGAGATAACCAAGTGTTTGTACATTTTACAAAGAAGCAATTTTAACGAATAAATTAACAGAAAAACGCATCGAAAAATGTACGAGACATGTAAATCATAAGTTTCGTTATCTTGGAAAGACTTTACTCGATGACGTTATAAATACGCTTTACACATCGATTGAGACTCGCGATTAAAAGAATAACTATTGCAATAACTTCTCAATCGATCTATATCAAGTGTTTACACGAAGTGTGATTCTTCTCTCTAAAATGTATTAAACTACATTATGATAACTGCTAATCATTTTAATCATTTCCTTATTTTAATGCAAATGTGTGTCACCTTTACGCTATCATTAAGAGATGTACTGGAAGATAAAAATTGTTACATTTATTGCTTGAGATTATCTGTTCCATATAAACTCTACAAAATCTATTTTATAAGCATAACTGTAACAATTACAGCAACAAATAACAATATTAACAAATAATCGCATATATTTTTTGCATATGTGTATATATGAGTGTATTTTATATCCTATTTTCTCATGTGTGCGATTACAATACATACAATCCATATTTAACACGAGTCACCATTAAATCATATTTAATAAAATAACGTTGTGGCAAATAATGAACCATCTTATCTTGAAGAATGTCATCGTGTGCATTTTTTCACCAGTAACTTCTCGCATCGGTTCGAAAGCAGTAAATAGTCAACATTGCGGAAATGCCTTTGTACCTGAGCAATCTGGTCTGTACAAAAAATCATCACATGGCTTAAATATCTCAATCTCATATACGGTGAGCAGAATGAGGAGGTGAAGCGAGTCGAACCAGGCTCGTAAATTCCTGACTACACTACTGACAGTTAACGCTCTCTTCCCCTCTCATTCCTCCTTCCCGCTACAGCCGTCACGCTTCGACAGTTACTACTCGGGCGATAGCGCCCGCGCAGCCGTCGGGACGTGGCAACATCGCCAACGACCACGTCGTCACGGTCACCTGACTTTTCGTGGAAACGCGACGCCGCTATACTTTCCTCGGTCGCGCGCGCGTGAATATAGGCGTGCACGAACGCGTGTAGCATGCACGCACGACCCTTTTCCTCCTTTTTTTTCCCCCTTCCGTTTCTCTACTCTTTCTCTCTCTAACTTGCTCTCTCTCTGTCTTTCCGCCTATATTTCTCTCTCTCTCTCTTCCCCACCCTCCGTACGGTGAGATCGATCGATCGGAGGCAGTCACAACTCTTTCGAACGCGACACACGATATGCCTCAACTTCTAGTACGTGCCGCGTGCCGCTGATGCCACGGAGAAAGTGTAGAGCTCTATCTGTTAACCATATAACACGCAATTTGTCAAATACGTAGCGAGTAGACGAAGGTAAGCGACCACGCTGGCAGCAATGACGTCAGGAAGCATAGAGCGCGAGTGCGTGGCGTAAATTTGCAGAGGAGAAAAAAAAGTAAGAGAGATTACGCTGCTATCGAAGACACGATAAGTACGTCAGGAGCTCTCAACTTGAGAAATCATGGTCACGTTCCAGATTGCTCGACATATGGATGAAAATACAAGCCAGCGGATTATTACGATTGAAAATAATTTTTCGAAACTGACTGTACCTTTCCTTAGACTTATGATATATTTAAAAACATGATATAATTTTATGGATGCGTTAAAATCATGCATGTAATGCTATTGTTACTTTAATTTATTAACGAATGTTGTCTTGTGATACGTTTATAAGCACATTGCAGTGTGCAATTCGTTAAGAATAAATTGTACGAAACCAACGTCAATTATATTCTGTTTTAACGTTCTAACGTCAATTCTATTCTGTACAAAGTTGTATTTGTCTGTGATTTATCAATCACGAGATGCTACATCGCCAAATATAATGCTTGCTATTTTCATTGAAATCGTGTTGCCAACCATTTCGTTTTACCGTGACTGTTCTAATATTAAACTCGGTATCTACTACAATAAAAGTGCAAGATATTACAGATAACAATCGGCATGCGATGAAAAGTTAATGTGTTGTTGTGCGTGACGTTCAACATCACAATCGAGTTGTTTGCGTCAGCGTAAAAAATTGCGCATGGCCGTCTACATGTTTATTGACTGATATTGGTACAATAACATTACATGACATCGAATAATTGCGACAATACGATTGATTCTTGAAATCATATGAAAGTAGTATAACTTGCGCAAAAAATACGATATATTGTTAATTTTATTCACATTTTTCTCGTTTTGCAATTTATATAATTATATTTTATTTATATAATTACATTTTATTATACCAGATGAGTCTACAAAATGTTATTTATTGCAACTGCGCGTATTCTGCTCGTGATATACGTCGAGGCACTTAAAAAAAAATTGAACCAAACTGATGGAAGAAAAATAAATCCGAGATTTGTAGTTTATTTGTAGACTGTATGTGGATTTTATTAGATAGCAAAGATCGATTCGCCTCTAACGATGTTTCAATGTCGTCTTTTTACACCTGCTTCTTATGACGCGCGACTTAATTAATTCTTAAGACATGACTCATCGTAAGCCGGCGCTTGTATATACTACTCCGAAATCGAGAATACTATTCTATTTCTGGACGCGACTAGCTTGGAGAAAAACTCACAACCGACATTTCCATACCGATTGACAGAATGTGGTCACACAGTTCGTCGAAGCTTATTTTTGCTAGCAGATTGTCTTATCGGATACTATTGTTATTATGCAGTACACACTGAAATCATGTAAGAATAAATGAGACACATTGCTCGAGAGGTAATTCAAATTTCTAGTATTAAAATATGCAGCGCTGAAAAATTACAATATATAAACAATTGTTTAACAGATTCATGAATAACAGAATTTGTAAAATTTTCGCATATTGAAACGGCCAGCAGAAATCACATGTCCTCTGCCTCTTAAAATATCAAATATTAGATATCTGTATCTTGCTGTATCGTCTCTAATCTCTTTTTTTCAAGACATATCTTGAATCACGCGGTGCGTCGGTTTGCACGATAAGTGAAACTTACCCGTGAGAGGGGAATCTGTGCTGAAGATGTTGGGGCTCGTAGTACTGTGTAGTAAGGGCTCGTTCGTCCAATGTATGCTCGGTCGCATGGGCCTTCGCTGCGGACTTGATATCCATGAACGCCACCGTCGCCGACGCACCCCCGCTGGTCGAGGAACCGCCGCTCCCGCCGCCACCGCCGCCGCCTGAACTGGAACCGGAACCGCCCTCATTGCCCTCGCCAAGGGAACTGCTGGAACCTCCATCCACGGGACACTCCTCGCCCCGTGGCAGCAGCTTGACGCTCTGCACGCGTCCATACCTGAAACATCATTAAATTATTATTTAATAAGCTTCAATGCTCTCGATGCATCAAACAAATCTTGAACAGTTTCGTCAAATATATTTCTAACTTTTATTTATTTATAATTAAGGGAAATAATGTGTAATTTTGTTCTTGCACTTTTGTATAGTTCCACCGAGGCAAGATCTTGTTTCCAAGTTCAAGTTTACAGAAATTAGTTTATTTAGCTTTCCTTCATTTTATAATAAAAAATAAGACTTAAAATTCTACAAATAATGGCGTGAAATAAAATCGATAGAACTTGCACACTTTGACATTCCCTAATAAGTAACGCACGGAGACTTATTTTCAAGAAACTGCCCACTTATTCCCAAGTGACCTCTATTAGTAAATATTAGCTAGTTTCTACGGATAGCAACATCATCTTTCCATGCTCGACAGCTCTATGTCGAAAAGATCTTGTCAGAATCGTTTAGGTTTTCGAAAAAAAGGAGGAAAAATGCGAGAAGCACAGACACCCCATAATCCTTTGCTTCTAGAAAGCTTTCTCGATGCCCGATGCGAACGCAGGAAATTGAGTCTACCAGCAGGAGAAACAGAGAGAGAGAAGCGAGAAAAGAGAAAGACGAGACCTCGATCGAAGTCTTCCTCGGCTACGTTCGGATCAGCACAGATAAAAGTCGTCGCGGATGTTTTTGCAGAAAGGCCATGACAACTCGTGTGGATCAAGTCATGGCAATGCACGAGTGAGGGGACAGGAGAGAGACATGAAAGAAATGACGTGTAGATATATAAGGTGTCTCAAAGAAAATGTCAGCTTTAACGTTCCACACTTCATCAATTACACCGAGTTACACTGCAACTACGATAATTCGTACTGCTTAATTTGTACCGCAATTCTATCTAGAATATTACACTATTACGAGAAATAATAGAGTCTTCGAATAATGAGGAAAGCCAAATTCAACGTTAAACATGAGAAGGAAAAATCAAAAATATACCACAACGTATTGGGATATTTATATCTCGATGCTAATTAATATTTATTTCTTCTTAACATAAGATAAATTATTTGATGCTGTAACTGCAGAATTTAGTGCGATGTAACTTCAAAGCTAAGTTCATGACTTTCTTAGGTAAAGTTTTATCTTAGAGTTTTCTCCGAATGCCTGGAATTTCAACGATATAGCCGAATGGCGAACAGGAAAGTTTTTCCAGGGCGCAAATGGAGCGCCCAGCGGCGTCAATATCGATTTATTCCCCGATTGCACGGTGCGCTATTCTGCTGTCCCATTGGAAGCGCCGATATCTTTCGCGTTTCGCATCTCGGCGTGGTCTCGGCGCAATTTTGAATCGGCGAAGTTTCCGACGAAGGGCAAAAGGTAAGAGGGAGAGAGAGAGAAAGAGAGAGAGAGAGAGGAAACGGGAAGGGACGACACAGAGTGAGGTCTCGTTTTCACCCCGTAGTGGAGAACTTAGGATATTGAATTTCGCACGAAATTAAAGAAAACAAAGAGTCCGGGGAGTTGTTTCTGGCACACCCTGTGTGCAGAAAGCGCGCACGACGGAGGTGATATCACCAAGTAGGGGAACTCGCCGTGCTGGTAGGGCAAGGTAGGCGCTGACTGGCCGCTCCGGAAGGAAACGCTGCACGCAAGCGCAAACACCGGGACGTTCTGGGACTCTCTCGAGGAGTCGTTCGTCTAATCTCGCGTGAGTCGCACGTATCTGGCTCTGCTCCGCTTGCATTCCCGAAAGACTTCTCTGCCATTTAGTCGTATAACTTCTGCTGCGTAACCCTCACATAAGCGTATATCATCGTAGAAAAAATAACTGTAGAAAACTCCCACGCAACACGGGACGAGCCGTCGTCGTATGGTCGTTTCGCGCGTAGACGGCGAGAGGGAATCTGGGTTGTGCCGAGATCTGGACGGCTTGGATACGGATTACCCGCGGGGATATTTTACTAGGGTCCTCCACAACTCGAAGAGACTAGTTTTTTCATACAGGCGAAAAAGTATCGAAAGAGGCAGCGGGCGTGTCGCGATGCCTGACATACGATTTTCCTCTGTCGTGTCGACCGATCGGGCGGGGCGTGGCTCCCCTCTGTCGTTCTATTGACTAGAAAAGGTTTTTTTGCGTTTTCTCGCTCATCGGGTTATCGATAATTGCCCGAATGCATCCACGTAGATCCGACGAACGAATCATTAATGACCGAAAAAAAAGAAACCAAAAAAAATTCAAGAAATTTCTCTCATTTTCGAAGATTTCAGTATTTCGCAGAGGCAAAAATTATTTTTGGAGCCCCGATCGTTCCTTGGCGAGGGAAGCAGGAGAAGAACCAAGTAAACGCGTAATCTTGCCACGTATGCATCTGGAAGAACGGTTCGCACGAAATGGCGGACGTGTTGTGGCAACTCACATAATCGTTCTCCATTCTCCCCGCATTCGTTTCTCGCATGTAGGATAATCACGACGTCGCTATTTTGCGCACGAGAGACGTTTTACTGTGTGATCTGTGATGTGTTCTCCGGACTTGGTCCGAGAGTTCTTGAAACGGTGCGTACAACACCGTTGCACGCGCGTAGCCCTGCGCTGGCAAAGTGAATCAGTGAATGTCGTATAGTTTGCGATATTCTGTGACAAAGAGAATCCCTACTAGTGCTGCGACATTTTCGGTTTTGAGAGACATTCTCGAAATCTTTCACGTATTAATGACGATGCCGCCTCCCATACGGAGGAAAATGACTATTTGCGAAGGAAATTTCCTCGATTAGTGTCGAGTTTTTAAATAGAAATGGAATAAAAGTCACTATTCATTATTATATATTTCTCGTTACACATGTTGATTGTACATAAAATCGGCATCCTCTCGTTCGACTGCTCCGAATCTGTGCAACTGAAGATCTGGTCTGGACGAAAACTCATCAGCATATTGTCGTCATCGAGGAGCGTCTTACCGAACGCACGACCGTGCGCATTTTCATCAGATTCAGAGAAAATTCTTGAGACTCGACACGTACTAGAATCGCGACCGCGTTCTGCCTCTCGCTCGCGAGAGAGCCGTTGCTGGCCTCTCCTTCCTTCCTCGTTCTTGTCCCCCTTTCCCTTCCACTCCCCTCAACGCGCTCATCCCCACGTTTCTCCTCTAATAAAAAAAAACGCACGCACACAGTCACGTTGGTCGGCGCGCTTTGGTGGAAGTTTCACACTGTTTCACATACGAGGAGCGCCCTTTTCTACGTCGCTCGTATGAGTGAAAGCGGGCGAAGGCAGGGGGAGATTAGCGGGGCTGTGGACGCGTGGTGGGATGCAGCACGGTGAGGAGGAAGAGGGTAACGTCGGAGAGGAAAGCCGAGTGCCACGGTGGCTGGCTGGCTGGCTTGCCTGGCGAGCGAGCCGTCAATCGTATCCCTTCCCTTCTATAATCGCTCCCACCGGCCCTTTCCTCTCCCCCTCGCTGCTCATCGAGGAATTTTACTCGGGCAGACTCGCTCCCAGGCTTGGTTCCCCCGTTTCTGGCCGACACACGACGGGTTCTGCTTTATGTGGCGGCATTAGCATGGGTCTCCATAAACCGAAGGAGTCTCTAGGTCAGCGCCGTGTTCTCCTACGTTACAAGAACGCCAGCCTCGCTCGTTCGCTGTCCGGGCTGGATAATGCAACCGAAGCCGCTTAAGACGCTATTTGAAGTAATGATCACGTTCGCGGACGGTGTAGCTTTGTTGCAATTCTAGCGCGATAGTTTAATGTTAGCTGCGAACAAAACAATCGTCGAAACGACGTATTTTTCGCGCACTTAACATTTTACGACGATAAATTCCACAATATATTTCTGCGAATAAAAATTGCACTTAGTTTAATTCCACAAACACGCGTCACGATTTCGATCTCGGTCTCGCGGAGAAAAGAAATTTGCAGAAAATGGTTCAAAGTATTGGTGAATTGATTTCAGATGTAGTTTGTTCGTTTAGTGAGAACGCGAAAGTCTGTTTTATTACGAACACAGTTTGTTTGTAAAAACGATTCGTTTGTTCTGTACTTCAAAACTAGCGATATTGTCGATGATTCATCGGTTGGAGTGTTAAATATATTTGCGTCGCGTTATCAGTGCACACACGTAGGCTGCAGGTGGACATTATCGTGATTACATCGACGAACCTAAGCCGCTTTAATCGCGCCGTCCATCGCGACGGTGACGTTCGAACGATCGTACGTCTTTCCACGTTTCAAACGGGAGACATACAGGAAATCAATACATCGGCCCACGGCGAACAGTCTGAGGGGCGAGACAAACGCAGAAACTCGTCTTCCGTAAACTCGTCAGCGTTATAAATAACGAATTATTGATCTATTCCGCCCGCTCACGACGCGTCGTCGTCCCCTTGTTTATAGAGGCGTTCATAAAGATAGTAACATGGCATTTATCGTATTTATTGCGAAAGCCTCGCATGTGCACTATATTAAATTACAATACTGTGAACATTATTGAGCTAAAAATTTCGCATTTCTCTCATTTTTTGTCGATACAATTTTATAATGAATCGTTAATGCGTTTCTTTGCTTCGAAACGTTTTGTATTCTTTCAAAATGTCAGCCTGGAAAAATAATCTATTTAAAAATATAGATCGTAAATAATCTGCTTTCATCTAGTAACTTTTTTCGACAATGTACCTATATAAAACAAAATGTTATTTTGAGAAATATGTTAATTTTTCCCCAAAGAATATTCGTATTTTTATATGCACGGTTCTTTCTCGCTTTTCCTTCGCGCAAATAAAATATCTCGTGCATTCTTTAGGCACTCGCGCGAAATATACACACGATTATGTGCAGCAGGAGAGTCCAGATTTTCGCAAGTGTGACGATCTAACGTCAACAATGCGAAGTTTCGCGATTCCATGAAGCGCAACGCGGGTAAAAAGGAACACAATGCAGAGTGGGCACACCATACAGTGACGACGAGAGAAGAGAAGGCTTTTGTTCCTCTGCTTGCCTGTGCTCTCTCGCCGGTTCTG